CAGCCTCGGGAGTCATATGCTATGACTTCCGCAATAGCCTGTTAATCACACAGGTCAGCCCTCTGGCTCTAAGAGAGACCGTGCAGGGCACGAACGAGAGAGCAGGATCAGTCTTGGAGCCAGGCAGGAGGCTGGAGAGTGATGGACAGGGGAATGGGGTACCTGTGAGTGAGGAGTTGTGTTCGTGCGTTAGAAATGGTGTCAAGGAGTTGGACTGAGACAAGACGAGTCCCTCCAAACCTCATGGTCTGCTCACATCCCTCACTTCCCACCTTGGAACCAGCTGCACACATCCTCACCGCTCTGACATGGGCAGCGCTGGGGTCTCTGACTGTGCCCCCCCATCATTAGCCATTTGTTGTCACATAGCGAGATAACCATGGTTCTGTCTTCCTCGGACACAGAAGTTCCCAGATAACCCCACACTTGTTGTTTCTCTCCCCAGAGCGTGCCCCTGCCTGTGCTCTCCGCTCTGGGAACACAGCGTGTCCTATGATAACACCAGGAGAACACAGCATTCCCAGGCACGAGCTGCTTTCAACCGCACTGGGACAATTCCTCCACGGCAACAAGGCCCCTGTGGGTAGAGGAGGACAGGCTCCCAGACCCTTCCTTGGCCTTGCTGGGCTCTCCTTTCCTTAGTCAGGGCTGTTCCATACACAGACAACTTGGGGGTAATGACCCCTTTGACGTTTTCAGATGACTTCTGACCTTTGGGCTTTGGGGATGGGTGCGTATGTGTGGCTAGCATCTCAGCCTGGCTCACATCGCTGCTGGCTGACATCCCTTCGGGGACACTAACCTATGCCTGTAGAGGCATCCAGGTCACCTGAGGAGCCAGAGGTAGCTGGGGGACCTTCAGGCCTGAGATTGGGATGGGCTCTCGGAGTCCTCCTCGGGGAGGTACTGATGTGGCCTGCACCAAGGACCGGGAAACACCCCCTCCCCTACCCTTACAGGGGCCTCTAGTACTTGGTTCTTCTGGGTTTAGGGGCTTGGGTTTGCTACGTGGTAAAGCCTGGATCCCGGAGTAGTTCTGAATTACCATGCCACCCAGCAATTCCAACTCTGGATGTACACACGGGAGAACTGAAAGCAGGGACTTGAGATATTTCTACACACAACGGCATTATCACAACAGCCAAAGGGTGGAAACGACCCGAGAGTCCATCAGTGGATGACAATGTGGTCTGAAGCTACGTGGAGTCTTATACAGCCTTTATTTATTTTTTAATTTTTTTTGAAGATTTTATTTGTTTATTTGACAGAATCACAAGTAGGTAGAGAGACAGGCAGAGAGAGAGGAGGAAGCAGGCTCCCCGCCAAGCAGACAGCCCAATGTGGGGCTCAATCCCAGGACCCCAGGATCATGACCTGAGCCGAAGGCAGAGGCTTTAACCCACTGAGCCACCCAGGCGCCCCATTATATAGCCTTTAAAAAGGAAGGATTTTCTGGTACAGCTATAACACAGATGAACCTGAAAACATTATGCTAAGTGAAAGAAGCCAGACACAAAAGGGTAAATATTGCATGATGCTCTCACATGAACTCCCCACAGCAGACAGAAAACAGAGTAGAGGTTACCAGGGGATGGAGTTGGGGAAGTAATGGGGAATTGCTTAGTGGATACAGAGTTTCTGTTTGGGGTGGTAAATCTGGGAGGGAGCTGTAGGGTTGTACTACATTGTGAATGCAATTAACATCCTTGAATTCTATATTTAAAAATGGTTAAGATGGCAAATTTTATGTGTTATATATATACATACACACATATATATAACCACAACAAGAAAGTAATTCCAAATAGGATCGTAAAATCCTAAATACTATATAAAATATATAAAGTGGAAAGCAAAACCTCACCTTTCTGAGATGAGCCCTGATGAATTTACCACCTAAGCTTTTTTTCTTCCGTGTAAGCCTGATATTGAGATTCTAATGTGAGCCAGCCCAATGCCACCGCCCCCCGGTGTGGTGGGCATCCCCCCTGCATTACGGGGGTTCTGGGCAAGGCTTCCACTTCTCTCATGATGCTGGGCTCACCTCATGAGTCAATTCTATCATGAGAGTGAGATGGGGAGGAATAAACCAAAATTCACACAAGTAAGTCAAGTTCAAGGCCCAGGAGAGCTTCTGGAAGGAGGGACAGCCTCCCCCACTGTGCCATGAGCTCTTCAAAGCCAGGGAGCCTGTCAAGCTTACCTCCGTGGACCCCTCAGAGTGAAGCACAGCGTCAGACCTGCGCTCCACAAAAGCTCTTTTGCTCACTGTCTGCTGCCTGGAGCAGTGGCGTGCACACTGAGGGCATTCCAGAGACAGCTCTTGGCTAAGGGAATATAAGCCGGCTGCCTATTTCATCTTTGGGTAATGGGTGACATCTTTTTCCACCTCCCTTTAGAGCACCCCCTCCACCCCTCTCAGCACACCCTGCCCTCGCCCCTCCTGCAGTGTCGTCTCCCCAGCCCTGGTGTCCCCCCAAGTATCCCCCCGCAGGCCCCCGCTAAGCTGTGCCGGCGGGTTTGTCCCACCCCCGGCGCACCAACAGCGAGAAGCCACATTGCCACCGGACTAGTTCTTTAGCAGCTTTATTGAGTAGTGAGAGGTAGTGTCATTTTCCACTGGACATGTGTCCTCAAGCTTGTACCAGAACTGCCTTGGGACAGACAGACAGACAGGGGGCCGGGCTGGGCAGGTGTCCACGGGAGGGTGTGAGCGCCAGGGACAGCTCAGCTGTCTAAAGGGACCAGCGACTGCTGCTGCTCGGGGGTGGCCACAAGTGTATCCTGGTTCTCTGTCTCCTTGAGGGTGCTGAAAAAAGAGTTGACCTTGTCCCTCAGATCCTTCTCCAGGAAGCTCAGGTGGTCTTCCACATCCCCTGCATAGGGGCCCAGCTTCTGCCTCAGCTCCTCCACCTGCTGCAGGAGAGCCTTGTTGAAGGTCTCGCCGTAGGGCCCCACGTTGCGGCGGAACTCCTCCACCTGCCGGTCCAGCTGGCTGCTCAGCTCGGCCAGCGACTTCTGCAGCTCCTGGGAGTTGTCCCTCAGCTTGCCACGCACCTCCTCAGCCACGGGCTCCAGCCTCTGCCGCAGCTCATCGGCGTTGGCCGAGATCTTGGCCTTCAGCTCCTCGGCGTTCTTCTTCATCTGGAAGGCCAGGCCCTCGAGCTGGTGGTTGAGCTTCTCCTGCACGTCCTGCGCATAGGGAGCCAGGCTGCGGCGCAGCTCCTCCACGTTTTGGTCGATCTTGACCTTGAGCTCATCCGCGTAGGGCGTGAGGCGGCCCTTGAGCTCTTCAACGTTCTGGTGGATCTGGGCCCTCAACTCATCTGCATAGGGCGTCAGGGAGACCTGCAGGCTGTCCACGTTCTGGCGCAGCGCGCTCTGCATGCGCTGCGCGTGGGACGTCAGCTGTTTCCGCAGCTGCTCGGCGTGGGTGTTGACCTGGGTGCGCAGCTCATCCGCGTACGTCCCGAAGCGCTGCTGCAGCTCGCGCATGTTGTCCCCGATCTTCTGGCTCACCTCGGCGGCGTGGGGCAGCAGCCGGGCGCGCAGCTCCTCGAGCTCCTTCCGGATCTCCTCCTTCAGCTTCTCGGAGTCTTTGCTCAGGCGTTCGTGCAGCTCCGTGGCAAAGGGCACCAGCTTCTTCTGCAGGTTGTAGGTGTAGGTGTTCACTTGCCCAATCTTGTCCTGGAAGAGGGCACTGCAGGGGAGGGACACAGGAGGGCCACCGTTACACTTGGCATGACATGCTGGGATTGTCTCCTTATGCCCCGCTCATCTCATACACACCTGCTTGAGAAGGGTGAGTGTTCCGGGGTATTAAGGTCACAGGTAGATCATGGTTTGGGAGAGTAGATGTAATAGACTTAGTTATTACCTGGCGTCTCTGACTCTCCCCCTGACCTTGAGTCACCGTGACCGGGCACCCCCCATCCACCCCACGTCTGTGAAGTAAAAAGGGCAGACTTTGAAGTCCTTCCCAGCTAAGGTGTGCTGTGACACAGATTACAGTCATTAATAGAATGTTATGCTCTGGACCACTTCCAGTCTTTTAGGGATTCAAAATACTAGTTTCCTTCCACGTGCCCACCCTCAGAGGCTTCCCAAATATCCCCACTTCCTTTCCCATGATTTCACAGGCTCCCATCCTTCTGGAATGTCTTAGGACCCAGTTCCCATGACATTTCCCTCCCTCCCTTTCTCCCATGACTCTCAATGCTAGCATGTGGCCATCTGCCACACTCTAGAAAGTTCAAGCAGGAAGATTCCTCGGGGATTATTAGTCTAACACCCTGTTGCATATGTGGCTCGCAGATCTGGAGACCTCAGGGTCCCCGCGAGAGTTAGTGGCAGGGCAGTGGGTATCCTACGCTCAGGTCTCCAGCCTCTGAGCTCAGCCCTTGCCATTCCATTGCAAGCTGCCCCGTGAGCCGTGCCCCTCTTACTTGAGCTGCTGGGTGAGCTCCGACTTCTGAAGATGTTCCACGGCTTCCTTGGCATTGTTGCTCAGCTGACTAAAGTAGTCCCACACCACAGTGGCCACCTGGTCGGCACTGACCTCTGCCCGGGCACCTGGGCAGGAAACAGAGAGATTCACGAGGACCCATCTCCTTCCTTGTCCCTCCATACCAGCCCTGAGCTGCAGACTGGCTGACGGTGGGGGAGCCCAAACACTGACCCCCCCACCCCCCGTGCTTCCCTCCTTAAAAGCTACAGGGGCTTGTAAAACTGGGAAAGCACCAGAGCCAGGGGGCAGAACGTTGGGCAGAGGCCAGCGCTCCTATGAACCACATGGCAGGTGGGCAGCCTTCTGCATCCAGCCGGGGGATGACAGGCATTTGGAACTGTCCTCTTGCCTGCGCTCTGGATTCTCCATCCTGCCCACTTTATGCAGCAGATGAGTCCTGCCTGAAAACCTCTTCCAAAGGCTACTCACCAGTGACAGCCACCAGGGACAGGGTCAGGACCACAGCCTTCAGGAACATCCTGGGCTTCTCGCTGGGCTGGAAGAGACTCGCACTGCACTGGATCCTTCCTGGGGTCACAGGAGGCCCAGAAGTGAGGCTCTCGGACAGCTCACCTGTGCTGCTGTCGGAACTAACTGTACCTCGGAGCCAGCCAGACATTTAAACCCCCAACAGGCTGCCCTCCCCAGCTCCCTCCCCAGTGTGACTCCACGCTGGAAGGTGACACATTCTCAGGAGGCCTCTTGGACTTTTGTGACCCAAGACAACGTGGCAGCTGACAGCAGACTGGGGCTGGGGCAGCAGTCCGGAGAGGCTGTTCTGTGTTGGTGCCCCACCCGGTATAGAAGGGAGGATGGGGAGCCACAAGTTGTTGGCAGAAAGGAGGCCTAGGGAATCCCCAAGCCAGGGACTAATGTCCCAGAGGCCCTGCTGACAATTCTGGGCCTGAGCCAGGTTTGGGGGCAAAGTTCACCCTCCTCTGCCTGTCTCAGGGAAGAGAGCCCTTCCCCACAACATCCCCCACTCTGATCCATTTCAGAGCACCAGACCCCGGACGGGGACACCCAGGGCCACCACTGGGGACAGCAAGCTAAGATCCAGAGCTCTGGTCCAGGCGTGCCTGGGAGGAGAAGGCTCTAGCAAGCCTTTGGGCAGGTGGGAGGGCCGGGCCCTGTATTGGAAGGGTTCATCGTAAGTGTGCTTCCTGTACGACCACTGCCAAGCTGGGTCACCTGGGCCTCATGATTCAGCTCAGCCTAGCTCTGAGCCTCGGTTTCTCCTTTGAAACATGGGGGTTGCTCATGGCATGAGTAGTAAAACGCCTGGTGCAGAGTTAGCCCGACAAAGTAGTTGTTGTTATTAGTAATAGTATTGTTTTCCTGGTTTGGACCAGTAAGAGTGGCAGAGGCAGGCCCAGGCCTCTGGGGGCTCTCAGGAGCGGTGCACCATGCAGGGAGATCGGCTGGCCTGAGGCCTGATTCCTGCCCCCAGCCCAGCCCTGCTCCCTGGGCAGGAGCAGTCAGTCTATGCTGAATCACAAGACCTGAGCCTCTTAGGGAACTTCGCATGAGACGGGACTAAAGGGCAGGAAGTCTTCTACAGGACTTCCAACGTTCTCTACAAATGAGGTTGCACACACAATTACAGGAAGCCATCCACCAAGAAGACACTGTAGCCTGGTTAGTGTGGGTCGCTCTGAGGGACCATGCCACCTGCACTGACCACCAGATGACTCCCATCCTAGGGCACCATTGGCTCCCACGAGGGAGTGCAGGGACCGGCAGGAAGCTGGACTCCTGTAGACCACAGCTGCGTTCACCCTGACTTATCAGGCCTCCATGCTTCATACTCCAGCAGTGGCTTGATGTCTCATGGGATTAAAGGCAGCTAGAAGGCCTGCTGCTGCCCACACCATGCCTCCCCCCCACCACTCACAGTAGCCTCTAGTACCAGGGAGTGCCCCTCTCCCCGAAGCAGCCCTTCCCTTCTTCTCCCAGCAGCTGTGTCGGGCTCAGATTCTGGAGTCGGACTCCCTGGGTGGGGACAGGGCACATCTCTCTGAGCCTCGGTCACCTCCACTGGGCGTAGAATAGTCCCTGCCTGCTGGTTGCAGGGATCCAGTGAAAACCCGTGTCCTGCTAGGAACGCTGCCCGGGGCACAGTAGGTGCTCACCAAGCACGAGCCAGATTTCACCCCAAAAACCTTCCCTCCCTGCAACACTGGCCTATCATTCCTGCTCCTGCTCCCTCATCGGGCACAGTCCGGCCAGGGGTGGGCACAAAGGTCCGTGCGTGCTCCATGCCCCCATCCCTTCCCCTGGGCCCGGAGAAGAAAAGAGCAATGAGTCACCAAAGACACCTCAGCTGCAGTTTGACCTCTTGGACTTCGAGTCTGAGCAGCGAGTGTCACCAGCATGTGACAGGCTCTGTCTTACTTGTTGGGGTGGACAGGCACCGGGAGTGTCTGCACCTATCTGAGCATGCAGACACTGAGCGTCTGAGAGTGTCTGCCAGGACATGGACAGAGTCACCTAAGTGTGTCACTACTTCTGCTGTGGGTGGGCACAAAGCTGGGGCGTGCCGCTGAGGGACGGGTGCAGACGGGTGCAGGCCGATATGAGCAGTCGCATCCTTGAGGAGGGGGTGCTGTGTCCTGACGTGTCATGGGTGGGTGCCGTTAATGAATGCATTTCTTTCCCAGGGTCAGTGGGCGTGTTTTGTATCAGGCTTTGAATGGATTTGTGCTGGGAGCGGGGGAGAAGGAGTACGCAGGCCCTGAGTGTTGGAGCTACGGATGGAAGGAGGGGACCCTGCCTTGGCCTGGGTTCTGGTTCTCTTTGAGCACAGATACTGGCTTCTCCAGGTCCTCCGGCTGGCAGGAACGAAGCGGTGTTCCCAGTTCAACCCAGGGGCAGGGGCATGGGTCACAGAGGCTTGTGTGCTAAGCCTCACTCAGACACAAGGACGCTCAGAGAGTCTTCTTAACCCCAGAGGACCATTTCTGGCCCCAGGTGGCCAAGCCTCCCCCCCCCCCCCACGGCCCCTCACCACCCACGGCTGCCCCTTACTTTTTAGGGCCAGTCTTGGGCCAGGCCCAGAGAAGTCGCCTCATTCCAGGGGAGCTAGCATGGGAGGGAGGGAGGGAGAGAATAGGGAAGGCCAGGCCTCTTAGGCTGGCCACTGGAAGGGCCCCTACAGAGACAGCCCCTACTGAGACCGCCCAGAGGGGCCCTTTGAACGAGAAAATGGCCCAGGCTCTTGGCATGCCACACACCTGCTGCATGGGTCTGCACACCTGGGTTCTCAACCTAGCCCAGCACCTGCCTGCTGGGTCTCTCTGCCCCATCTTCTGACCTCCCTGGTATCAGGGAGCCCATTGCTACATAGCAGAGAGAGGACAGGTTCCTCCAGACCCTCCACACACGCAGGCAATGGGAGTTGGAGGGTCCATTGTAGCACGCCCAGGGGCTGAGGACTTTGTACTCCAACCCAGCTGGGATCTGGATTCCCACTGTGGCCTTCACCTCTACCGCGGAGGGACAGGCCAGAACAGAAGAGTGACATGGGCACAATTGCTCTCCGCCCTCCCGAGTGCTCAGTCCTTTCAGTGACCAAATCAGCTTCCTTTCCTCCCCCACCCCATTGGCAAAATCTGCTCAGGAAGAGTGACTAGTAAACCCCCGAGGGTCTCGTGTCTCCAAGCTGTTTAGTACCAGTGTAGGTCATTGAAGCCTTGTGTTCTGCTTCCCAGCTCTACCCGTGATGGACTCTGTGTACTTGGGTACATCTCAGCCCCGTGAGCCTTAGGTTTCTTACCTACAAAATGGGGTTATTAATATCTACTTCACAGGAATCTATTTGCATTTTAACAGAATACAGGATCTAAGTCAAAGGAATGAATTTCTAATGGAGAAACTTCAAGTCTCAGGCAATAATAAAGATTTCTGAGGGTGGAACCAGGCTACTTTCTCCGGCCTTTGATTTCGTACTGTTGGGTTAGTTGCTTCTTCCTGAAAGGATGGCTGCCTGCCCAAAGCCCTGTTTCTACACTGAAGCCTCCTCCTGCCTTCAGAGTGTGCTGTCTGGGGATGGACAAGGTATTTGGGAGGAAGAGAGATTTATCAGGTCCCCTCCATGAACCAGTTGCTTTGTATATATATATATCTCATTTACTTTACACCACAGCTCTTGGCATATTGGCATTCTTTTTTTTTTAATTTTTTAATTATTTTAATTACTTTTCAGTGTACTAGAATTCATTGTTTATGCACCACACCCAGTGCTCCATGCAATACATGCCCTCCACAATACCCACCACAAGGCTGGCCCAACTTCCCACCCCCTGCCCCTTCCAAACCCTCAGATTGTTTTTCAGAGTCCATAGTCTCTCATGGTTCATCTCCCTCTCCAATTTCCCTCAACTCCTTTCTCCTCTCCATCTCCCCATGTCCTCCATATTATTCCTTATGCTCCACAAATAAGTGAGACCATATGATAATTGACTCCCTCTGCTTGACTTATTTCACTCGGCATAATCTCTTCCAGTCCCATCCATGTTGATGTAAAAGTTGGGGATTCATCCCTTCTGATGGAGGCATCATACTCCATAGTGTATATGGACCATATCTTCCTTATCCGTTCATCCGTTGAAGGGCATCTTGGTTCTTTCCTCAGTTTGGCGACCGTGGCCATTGCTGCTATGAACATTGGGGTACAGATGGCCCTTCTTTTCACTACATTCTATCCCCTTTTTCAAGGGAAGAAAACTGAGGCTCTGAGATGTTAGGTCTCTGGCCCTGGGTCATATGAATCAGTGTCAAAGGCATCGTTCAATCCAAGGATTTCTTGTCTCCAAAGTCTCAGCCTTCCCGATCCTGCTATCCAGGCTGCGGCTCCCAGTGTGGGCCCAGGGATACCTTACCCCAAGCAAGGCCTGTGGCCTCTCTGGGACAGCCCCTGCAGAGCTCCTCTGCACCCTCTCCCTACCAGACTGGCCACGCCACCACCTTGCTTCCTTCCAGCTCCCTGCCCAGCCAAGGGGCCGTGAGGGCTGCCGTTTCAAAGCTAAGGAAACCAAGACCCAAGGTGCGAGGTGCTCAGTGCTGGAAATCGATCCCGGCCGGCACAGTCCGGGGGAGGCCTCAGCCTTGAGCCGCAGCTGCTGTCCCAGGGAATGTTATCAGTGGGTCCAGAGGGCAGGGGGAGGAGGAGGGGAGGGAGGATGGGACAAAGGCCTTGGGCTCAGAGCAGCCTTTGTTGTTCTCCCACCACCCCCTGCCCTGGGCTCAGCTCAGGGAGGCTCCTGGGTGAGCAGCACCTGGGACGGAGGGGCAAAGGCGCAGGTGCTGGGAAGGGGGCTGCGTAAACTCCACTGCGTGGCCCTCCCCGCGGAAGCCTCTGCCCGTAGGTCTTCTGTGACTTCACTCTAGACACCCCACCCCAATACTGAGTTGTTCCCGAGCCTTCTCAGTTTGCAGGGAGAGGGGGTGGGGGTGGGGAGGGATCTACAAGCCTCCTGTGAAGGGCTGAGATGGGCCCAGAGGCCCCTGGCTGGTGCTCTAATCTCCCTCCCCTATCGCCAGCCTCTCCCTGGGGAGTCAGGCTGCTTGAAAAAATGGGGTCTCCACAGGGCCTGAGCCCTTTTGGGCCACAGGGTAGCAGAGCAGGGCAGGCACCAGGGGACCCAGAGATTTCCCAACTCTCCCAGCAGGCCTGGCTGCATCTGGGCACCCTGCCTCAGGCCCTGGTCTAGACTGATCAGCAGGTGAACTTTGCCCAGCTCCCTGAGCCCTCCGCGCCCCCTGTCCGGGAGACAATATAAAACAGGCCAGAGCCCTCTTGTCTGTCTATTCAGCTCATCCCAGGAGGGAGCTGCTCCAGGTAATGCCCCCTGGGGAGGAGGAGGAGGGTGAGGGAGAGAGGAGAGAGGGATGGAGGGGGCACAGTAGCGTCCCTGCCTGCACCAGCCAGCACAGTCTGGAGAAAAGTTTGCTGGGGCCAAGGAAGCCGCAGGGCTGGGGGAGCAGCTCCCACCACCAGGAGCACGCTGGGGGAAACCGAGGCCCACGGAAGACAGGGCACTTGCCCAAATCTGCATCGGGTGTGGTGGCACAGCTGGGACTGGAACTGGCTCCAGATGCGCACGCTCTGCCCTCATTGTGCATGGTTAGGGCCGCAAGGAGCCTTAGAGCCCCATCCTACCCCAGACGGGAAAACTGAGACCTGGATGAGGGACAGGGATCTCCCCCAAGCCACCTAGCATGTCAGTGGCAGGAACCGGGCCAGAACCCAGGTGTCCCGACTCCTGGTCTGATGGGTTTTCTGCTCTCTCCCTTGGGGCCCACGCTCCCCCTCAGCCTGGCCCTGGAGGCCCTGGTGTCTGAAGGCCCTTTATCTCCCACATTAGCTGGCAGCAGGCCCTTTCTCCTCCTGGCTTGACCCAGCTCAGGATCTACTGTTGGGGCCACAGCACTTCCCCAGAGGAGAGGGGTGGCGGGGGTTAAGGTACTCCTCACAAGAAGCTTCCCTGCAGGAACAGAGACGCCATGCAGCCCCGGGTCCTCCTCGTCGCTGCCCTCCTGGTGCTCCTGGCCTCTGCCCGTAAGCAGCTTCGTGGGGACTGGGCTAGGGCTGGGGTGAGGGTGGCTGTCTGCCTGGAGGACCCTTGGGGATGGCTTGAGGATCCCGGGCCCTGGTGGGTGGCTGGGCAGAAGCCAAGGGCTCCCCAGAGGCCGATCCATCCCACTCAACCTTGCTGTCCCAGCAGGAGCTCTGGAGGCAGAGGACCCCTCCCTGCTGGACCTTATGCAGGGATACATGGAGCACGCCACCAAGACCGCCCAGGACACGCTGACCAGCGTGCAGGAGTCCCAGGTGGCCCAGCGGGCCAGGTATGCCCCCCGAGTGTCTATGCTCAGTACCAGCTCCTGCCCCAGACTCACAAGGGCCCTGGCAGTGGGGCTGTGGCTCTCCCCCATCCACCCAGCACCTGCACGACTCCAAGCCTCCGTGTTCCACTCTGTGAGACGGGGTCCCTCTCAGGGCTTCCTTGGGCTGCAGGGGGAGAGATGGGAGAGCCTCGACTGCCTCCTTCCTTTCTCCTCCCGGCCGCTCCTCCTGTCCGAGGGCCCTCCTTGATCCTTTATGGACCCTACAAGCCTCTGAGGAAGGCCGCATCAGCTCTTGTTGCCATCTCTTTACCAGTGGAGCTTGGCCTGGGAGCTTCTATCCAACCCAATTTCGGCTGTGTGTGTGTGTGTGTTTCTGCCTTGTGCAAAGCCCTGGGGCCCGGTGTGAGCAGAAGCCCCTCCTTCCCCTCCCATCCTGCCCTGCCTCTAGTCCTCCCCTCTCTCAGCTCCCTTCCCCACCCTCTCCCTTCACCGCCCACCCCCAAGCAGCCAGCATTTCCATTGCTGAGGCATCCAGATTCTTAGAAGCTGCGGAGTGGGTATTATATTTGCCATTTTGCAGATGAGACAACCGAGGATCAGAGATATCCATGACCTGCCCCCGATCACACAGCTA